AGTTGTGGTTCTTATCATTGGAATTATTACATACTCTTTTATGGCATCCTTTTCTTGTCTTCATATCTGTTGTATGTCCTATATATGCGTCTTTTATATCAGTATTTCTACATACAATTTTATAGAAATGTGTTGATGAATAGTCTATTTGATTTCTGGGCATAATTCGGTATATAGTGGTAAAAGGTTTTATTCTTTATATATCTTTTGTATCATCTATTAATCATAAAAGCCCTATTAATATCACTCGCCATCAAATTTACAAATAAAAAACTAAACCTATCTTCAGTTGCCAGTTCATAAATTTCTAGTAATGTCTTTTTAGCACTGTTGATATTTTTATCGTCCATCAAAAAGTGTGTCTTTATCAATAGTGCTGACAATTCTTCAATCATTGTCTGTATCTCCTTAAGTTTCTCATCTTGAAAAAGTATAACTGCCTACTATTTACCCTGATAATTGTTGAAAGCCCATTGAATTTTTGCGTTGAACTCACTATATTGACCCCAAAATGTCTTCCTCTGATGTAAAGAGCATTGAGCATACTGTTGTGTTTTGAAAATGAAACCGCATCAACAAAATCATCAACAACAATCAATGTAGCAAACAGTTTTTTGAATTTATTTTTCTTTTGATATTCACTTATTTTGTATTGTTGTTCAAGTATCTCTTCCAAATCTTCTTTATGGAACTCATCCAAATAAACCTTCTCTTTCTTCGGATTTACTTTTAGTGTTTTTTCAATGTATTCTTTCACTGGGTGCCAGACACTATCTACATGGATACTAGCAGAAAATATAAACACCCTCTCAAAACAATTTCTGTAAATATCTAATATCATATTCTGTAGTAAGATAGATTTACCAGAGCCAGACGGTCCCACTACAATTTGTGAAAATGGTATTCTAGGGGCTACATCATATTTTGATTGTTTAAACTCATACTCTGCTGATTTATGTGGTTTAATAATTGGAACGGTATTATTCATAATATAAACTATTTAGAAATTAATTTCTAATATTCATTGTGAATGGCATATCTTATTTTACCTGAATAGGGGTCGGTAGAATATGGAACAGACTGCCATTATTACCCATCATAAGAATGTTAATTAAAAATTAAAAAAAAATCCACCCCTTTGGCTCTTGCTTCTTTTTCACCCTCGACACGGTCTCTTTTTGCTATGACAACAAGCAGTAGAAGATTTGAAGCCTTTTTGCTCTTGAATTTGTTTGATGCTATGTTTCAATCAGCACAGTTCATTTTCTTTGACATTTACCTACCGCCCCTTATGGATTTTTGTTTGCGCCTAAAAATCCATATATAATTAGATAGTAGTAAAATATATCATCTAATTATATAGGATGAGCAGTTGTGAAGTTTTTGATAGTTATATCAATACAATAGATGTGATTGAAGATAGTGTCATTGATGATACTAAATTTCCAATTGTAAAAGATAATAAACTTAAACAGATATTCAGGGTAATGCTGGAGTTCCTGAAGGTAATTATAAATTATCTTAAGTATTGTACAACTCATTTTGATTTGAAATCAAAATGAGTTCTAGAACTATAGAATATTTTCTGATATATTTTATATGTGTACAAATGCCACCAAAGAAAGTAAAACCAAAGATGAGTAGTAAAATGAAGAAGCAACCAATACCTGAAGATTTTGAACTATCAGATGAAGAACCCACTACAATAAATTTAGATGAGGAGTAAAAACTAACAAGCAAGTTTATCACCTTTGATTGCCCACTATGTCATTGAAAATTACAATTGAGAAATGAAATTGAAATCAACCCTAAAGGGGTTAAGATTTCTTGTAATCCGCGTAGTTTCAAAATCAGAAAAAATGATAAAACAATGAATGTAAAAAAGGATGACACAGGAGAAATTGTGTTAGAGAGTGAAGACCACAGCATTAGCTTTTCGTGGAACCGGCAAATCACACCAGAAGACCAAAAGGTGGAAAGCACTAACAAGATGATAAGTTATGTAATGGGAACGCCCAGAAGTAAAAAACAAATGGCAATAAATGATATGGATTGAAACATATTTACAGAGTTTTTTAGCGCAGTTCAACTGCTAAATAAATAAATATATATATAAATAATTATATATAGAAATGTCTGATTTAGATGATAAACAACCTGAAATGGCAGAGATGCTGAACAAGATGACCAGATACAACAAGAATGTGAAGATGTTGATGGACTTAATGAACAAGGCATTAGAAAAACTTGATATATTAGTGAAAAATAAACCTGCTGAAAATGATGCTGATGCTGAAAAGGAAAAGATTGATAAAATCTTTGAGGCTAAAAAAATCGGCAGACCTGTAGGCACTTTTGAAACCAAGCAACACCAGTATCTGAAAATGCTGAACGAAGGCAAAATCAAAATGCCTAAGGCATCCACTCTGGAGTTTTACAAGATTGAAAGGGATGGTGAAGTGTATAAAGTGGTGGGTGAATAGATGAAATTTTGATAATATTATTATCTATAATAATATTATGAAATTGTTAGAATTGTTTTCAGGGACAGGCAGTGTTGGAACTGTTGCGAAAGATATGGGTTGGACTGTTGTGTCATTAGATTTGAAAGGGGCTGATATAAACTGCGACATACTACAATGGAAATACAAAAAATATCCAGTGAAATACTTTGATATGATATGGGCTTCACCCCCTTGTATTGAATATAGCATAGCAAAACAAACTGGGGTAAGGAAGATTGAAGAAGCAAATGAAATAGTTGTGAAAACTCTTGAGATAATCAGATACTTTAACCCCCGCATTTGGTTCATAGAAAATCCCCAGACAGGCTTGTTGAAGAAGCAATCATTTATGGAGGGGTTGCCCTTTTTTGACCTTGACTACTGTAAATATGGGATGCCATATAGAAAAAGAACAAGGCTCTGGACTAACTTGGACACTTGGACACCCAGACCTCTTTGCAAAAAGGATTGTGATAGTATGGATGGGAATAGGCATAAAGAAACAGCACAAAGAGCACCTAGTGGGAAAAAGGAATTTTGGAAAGAAGGCTACACCTTGTTCAAACAGAAGGACTTGTATAGAATACCTCAAGCACTGGTTGAGGAAATTATGACTGCTGTAAATATTGTGTGTTTCAGATAGTTGCGCCTTGCCACTGAATACTGCGCCTTGCCACTGGTGAGGGTCTCAAAAGATTTTATGTTGTGTGTGTGTGTTTGGGGTTGTGGTTGAGGCGAAGCCTTTAAGTATAAAATAGGGGATGGGAGGGTTTATATTTATTATTTGGGGAGCGCCAGACCCACACTCTTGTTGAAGTCGTCGTCCATCTGCTGACAGGGATGAAGAGGGTAAGGGTAGGTGGGTTTTCTTATTATATAAAATATATCTATGAAATATATTTCATAAAAATCTATCAAATATAGTTCATAAAAAAAAAAAAAAACTATATATCAAAAAAGAAGGGACAGCCTGAAAGTGCGAAGCACTTAAGAATAATTGTATTAATTTTTGATTGATGAATTGACCTTGGCAATCCGCCAACCCCTGAAGCATCAGTGCTGTGCTCACCTGACATCCTGACAAGGGGTTGAATGAAAAACTGGGTATTAAAAACTGTTGGGAGTGTTCCCATTTAAAAAAAAAAAAAAACTGAAAAAATGTTGGGGATGTTCCCATAAAAAATCCTAAAACAATGTTGGGAGGTCTTCCCATCATCAATCATCATTATCATCATCTATCATCATCTATAATCATTTTCATCATCACCTGTCTGAACCCGAGTGCCCACAACCTCTTGAAGAACTGGGCATCAACCTGCCATTGGACGAGTGATTGGCCAAAAAAGGAATGGGGTGCCCCATCCCAAGGTTTGGTCGGGGGCCCGTAGGATTTCTTAAACAGTTCGTTTGGCAAACACTTGTCCTTATGGAAGCTTCAGCCATTTGAGTAAGTTGTGATATAATATTTCTGAAATTGGAAATGGTCAAGTTGGACACCCTTGAGATACTCCTTGAGGTAAAGGCTCTCAAAATGAGAATTGACCACCTTGAGAGCTTTGTTGATGTCCTCTTGGATAAGCGAAAGGGTGGCGTAGTCTTCGTTGAAATGTTTGGCAACAAGTTTTGCCACAACTGGCGCTTTCGTGCAATCACTTGAAAACCAATCATTTTTCAACAAATACAGTTCCTCCAAATCCATATTATTTTGGATGCCGTTGTTGAAGAAGCGACCACCAAGCCCTGTTGTAGCATCAACAATCTTCCGCACTTTGGATGCATACTGATTGTCATTGTCCAAGGCTTCCATAGCCTCATCCCTTATTTTTTCTGCATCTGTGATGCGTTCCACTCTTCGGCGCTTGTTCTGATGCTCTACCATTGCTTCAGATTGAAGGATGCAGGATGCCAAACAAAATTGAGCAATAAATTGCTGTGAAAGTCAGAAACACATTTTGTCAAGCCCCTCTGACTACTGCAAGTTCTCCGAATTCAAGTGTTTTTTTTGATTTCCCAATCTTTCACAAAGTTTGTCCAAATCTATTTGCACACTGCCACTTCCACCACCCCTTGTTCTGACAAAAAACAGGTCAGGCGCACCAAGAAAAAGTTGGTCATCTTCTTCAGGAAATTGCCCAGCATTGGGCAGGAAAAGATGTAATAAGATGGGTAAGGTGGGGTTGTTATGGTTTATGGTATAGTCTATGTTATAGTCTATTGTATTGATTAGGTTGTTTTGTTTTTATTTGTTTTATCTGTTTGTTATGATTTATATTATTGGTTTTATTATTATTCTATGAGTTAGGCAATCCCATCTGTATTTATTATCCCCTTAGAATTTGATTGTATCATAGGCTGGGCGGGTTGTATTAAGATGGGATTGCCCTACTCTAACTATATATTATATATATATATTGTTCAAATTCTGATTGCTTCTTTCCACTGAAAATCCGACGTTTTTGTTGGAGAAATTCCGTGGCTTAGTGATCCATATCATGTCTATTGGTTCACTTCCTCACTTCGCGCAGGATCCCTTTCACGCACCTCCAAGTGAGATGTGGTCTTGCCCTAGCCGTGCACCAAACTCCAGAATTTCTTCTGTTGGTTTCAGGAAATGTTTACAGGAAATACGGAAAACTACGGTTTTTGATCATTTGTTGTGGATTTTACCTCTATATCGATAAAACATGATAAAACAAAATCAATCCGTAAAGGACTTGTTGATGTTTTCAAGCATGAACCCCAGGAAATCCACATGAGCCACAGGCAGAAGTGCCTTTTGCAAATGGTGCGTTGAGAGCCTGTTGGAATTCCACAAAAACGGTCCAAACCAGAGGAGTTCGTTTCGGAAAATCTTCCCATGTACCCAAAGGGATCCCTATGTGGTAATCAAGTATGCCTGGAAAGTCTCTATTTAGTACCATGATTTTGCCACTACATATTAGAATTATTAGAACCTCCATTTAAAAAAAGTCTGGGGATTTTTTATATGTGCAACCTCCATTTCTTGGATGATTTTCCCACTTTTTTTCCTAGAAACCTCCATTTTTCCCGGGTTTCCCATTGTAACCTCCATGATTTCCCATGCCCCGACCTCGCAGATCACCTCGACACCATAGTCCTCGTCTGGGTCGCTCAGAACCAGCCCAGGCCTCAGGCGACATTGCCAATGCTGGTGGGGTTCAAGACCCGTCATTGGAAATCAAGGAATACCCTCTGGTGAACTAACATAACTATGGAAAATCACCATTTTCAATGGGTAAATCCACTATAAATGGGCCATTTTCAATAGCTATGTTAAATTACCAGAGGGGTACTCACCAGTAAACTAACAGTTTGCTATGGAAAATATGGACCATAGAAATAGATGATAAATTGCTATTCAAAATGGTGATTAAAATAATAGCTATGTCAGTTTACCATAGGGTAAATGGTGCATGTTCCAGCCATCTTAGATGAATAAGAAACCCAAATCAATACACCATGCATGCTCGGTGGCTCGACATTCGAAAGTGATACAGTATTCAAAGGTACTCGTCAAAATGCTACCCTAGTGAAACATGTCATATCAATCAGGAGTTATGAATCTACCAGAAAATGATAGAATATGGTAAAATCTGATGCTGCTTAATGTCAAGGACAGATCCAATTCTCATGGCCAAGAATGGTAAAAACTGCCTCCAGTTTTTCAAACCCCGTCTCATGCTGCAACTTCCATTACTTGAAAAAAAAATGCACTATTTCCCATTCGATCCCCATGCTGAATTTCCTCATGGAGACATCCCCAGATCTCCCCCTTGCGCGTCCCCACTCCACGGCTGATCCTGGACCATGGCCGTTTTGTTCGGATTCAAAAAACGATTCCATTGGGGACCTCAAAATCCAGCGATTTCTACGGTGAAACGGCAGAATTTGACATCACACGGAGGGCTTAGCCGGCTTAGCCGGCTGAAGAAGTGGAATATTGATGAATATTGCCTGTTCAAAGTGGAAATATGTGGAAATGATGTAACCCTGCGGTGGCGTTTTTTTCGGCCATCGAAGAAGGGTGCATTCACCTTTGAAGACTTGGAATCTTGGCTAGAGATGTTCAACCAACCCTCAAAAGGCTCACAATCCCTGTGCGAGATGAGAGCATTCTTCCTCATTCCATGGAAAATCCTGGTTGGTTGATGGGGATTCCCTGTTGGATTATGTAAAAAAAAGATCCCCAGCCAATCATGGGTAAATCATCAACCAGGATCAGCCCTCCATCATCAACCAGGATAATAATAATAATACAATAATAGTAATAATAATAATAATAATATCATTGGGATTCCCTGATTGCTGGTATGTGTTCATCCCCGAACCAATCATCAACCAGCAGGGCTTGATAGCACACTACTAAAGGACCAGTCTGGACTGGTCAGGCCCAGCCGAGTTCTGCAAGTTGAACCCGCTCAAAAAAAAGTCTTGGAGTCCATATTCTCGTGCCACTGGGGTTTCCTATTCTCAACAAGAAAATCAGCAACCATATTCTGGGCGATGGGTCAAAATTCGAAGAATGACCAAAACAAACCAGACCCGGGCCTGAATTTTTGGTCAAAGCCCATTTATTGTATTTATTTGTAGGGTGGCCCTAAAAATAATCGAAACTGCCCTTCCAACTCCACAGCGCTCCTGTAGCACCCCCTTTCCACGGCTGTTCTTCTGCCTGATGGTCTAGCTTTTAAGCTGAGGATCAGATGGGGTAGATTGGCTTGGCAACAATTTGAATAGTTGTCTGGTCGTCAAACAACAAAGGTGCTACCCGATTTGTTAAAAGCGACCAAAGTAAGGGGTGAACTGGGGTAGCAATGATGGGCAGTTATATTGTAAACGACATTCTACTATGATGCTCTTTGCTTGAGAAACATACTTAAGTACTTCGAAGGGGCCTCCATTAAACAGGGCACCTGTTTGAGAAGATCATGGTTTCTTGGGGGATGGGAGAAACCTCGTGGGGCTGGCTTGGTCGCAAAGGAAGGCCCTTATAAACCATAGCCGTTCTCATTGAAGTCCCGGTTTTTGCTGAAGTTCCTTGGTTTTGCTGATGAAGTCCACAAAGTCTTTGCTGCTCATGTCCCAATCTTTGCTGGTCAAGACCTCGTGTTTTCCTGGTTGTGGTTCCTTTTTTGGTGCTGAAAAATCCCGCGTGGTGATGGTCCGTTTAAAATCAAAGACCCGCCAATTCTTTTGGTCCATCGCTACGCCATGCTGAGGCCATGGCTTGCCGTACAGAATATTTGATAGTCAAAAATCCCAATGTTTGATGGTTAAGAGTTAAGTTTCCAATGGTAACCATGGTATGAAAATCATGGTTGAATCACTTCAATCCCAATATTCAATGGTTAAAGTTAGGTCGTCCCCTTATTAATACTTCGTAGTTACATCAGTTCAATCCAATATGTGATGATCAATATCCCCATATTTTCCCATCAAAATCCCTTATATCATTATAAAATCCCTCAAAAGTCCCAAGATCTCAGGGCTTTCCTGCCCCTGCAAGTTGCCTGGACTGCAGTGGTTGACACATCCTCGCGATCCAGAAGACGTGGAGAACTTTTTTTGTGGGTCCGTGGGTCTCAGAATTTGGGGGTCTCAGAATTCCCCTGTGGTCATTTCTTACCCGCAACAAGGTTTTTTCAGCCACGTGGCTGGCTGGAAAATCCCCTCTGGTAAATAAATGGAAGTGTCAATGGGAATTGAAACATCCATTTTTTGACACAGGGATGTTCCATCACCATGTTTGATTACGGCTAGCTACGGAAAATCCATCCATTTCAACAAGGTAAATCATCTACTAATGAGATGCATAGACAGCTTGTTGCATAGGCAGATGCAGACTAGCCTTCTACTGGTGATGAAAACAAAATATGACTGGGAAAGGAACAATCTGTCATCTGATGTAACCGCTCAGTTGAGGCATTGCTCCAAAGCACAAGTTTAGATAAGTTCGCTCATGTCAAATCCGGATGACTGAACCCCAATGAGGTATTTGATTTTTTGTGGCAAAGGAATCAAGGAAAAAAAGTGGCAACCCCACTAATTCATCAACTAGAGTTATATAATCATTCAAGGCTGGCACTGCGAAGGCGTTCCTACCAGGGTTTCCATCAATTTTAGAGCCTCATATCTCGGGTTTAGCCCATGGGTTCTTTTCCGCAGCCATTTCCATGGCTGGTCTGGTCAGCCCCCCTGCTGGTGGCACTTGGGTCTTCCACCACTTTTCTCCTCCCACAAAAATCACTCAGTTTTTACACCAAAACGATTGAATCCATAAGACCCCCCAACCTAAAAGATGAGTTTTTCCTTTCACCAAAACTGAGTATCACTACCGTGGAAAATGATGATGTTCCACGGGAGTTCGATGGGATTTGGCTGGTTTTCCCCACACTTTTTTCAGACATCTCGCCTGAGGGGTCGGTTTCGAGGCCCATGTTGTGGGTTCCTTGGCAGCGGCCCAGGTTTCATGGAAAAACTGACCAAAAAACGGCAGAAAGATGTCGGAGACTTCGCTTGGGTCAAGTCTCCTGTCAAGTTTCCCTTAATCATCCGCCTCTTGAAGCCTCTTGGATTTGGGTACCTCAAAATCAACCTCCCCCAACCATTTCAACCGTTTTGTCAAGGTCAACCGTCATATGAGTCGTATCCTCAAGCATCATCCACCATATCCTTAAGCATCATCCAACATCAATCAGATCATCAACCAGATCCTCATCCACTCAACATGAAATGTCGGCCTCCTCGGCCGATACCGACTCGTCCTGCGTAAACACGAGGAGAGCATGTAGCACTGCAGCCAATCAAGATTCCAACATGCGATTCATGCCATTTGACATGATCAAATCAACATTAAAAAATGGCTAGATGTCATGAGGATTTGGTGCCATAGATCATCAGTCGATCATTTTTTGCTTGTGGCTATTTGATAGCGGATCGACCTCAAAAAAACGAGGAAAAATGTGGAGAGAAAATGGTGATCACCATGTGACTTCGTCTGGGTATGGCTTCAATGGCTTCCTGTATCTACTGAGGCAAAAAAAAAAAACATCACGCCAGTGGAAATATCCATAAGTGAGAATATCCATCGAAAAATGATGATAACAACAGTAATGCCCCATGAAATGATGATAATCTCTTCCAATATCCATTGATGCCATGGGGTATTGCTGTGGTAATCTGGATGGATATCCATGTGTATATATATATATATATATACAATACATATATATATATATAATGTACATATCCCTCAAATACACGGATATTTACCCATACAGGGGGATACAATCCATGAATACATGATAAATATCAGATCCACCCTTGTAGATACTCTCCATTGTGGATGATTGAATCTTGATCAAATGCTTACATAGTACCCTCCATATATTCAAAAGTCTGCTATAGATGATTAAAAAAAAAACTGATTTACCTCTGATGTTGCAGTTCGTCAAGTGACCAGAAGGTAATGATCGCCCATGATATTCCCATGAAATCCTATAAAATCACATGAAATCAGTATTTTCCATGATATTTCCCAAGGAAATGTCCACCGGAATCCAGTCGTTTTTTCTCGCCTCTTTGGCGACCGCGGAAACCGCGGTCTCAACCGCCGCGGTGCCGGAGGCCGAGGCCCCGCAGCCCATGGGCCTGGTAAACTGTCACATAGCTATAGAAAATCCACATTTTTTTATGGGAAAATCACCATTTTTAATGGGAAAACACCATTTTTTTAATGGGAAAACTCACTATTTCGACTGGGCCATTTTCAATAGCGAACTGTTAGTTTACCAATATATATATATATATATGGTCAAAGAACTTGTGGGAATCCATCATATATATGGAGATCATGGTTTAGAATCCATGAATCTAACCCATATTTCATGTCATATATTGTTTCGGTTCCATTCAGAAATATAACTAGGGTATAAACCATTCACCAAGTGGGGATGCACCTTCAAGTGGGATACGCCTCGACTTCACTGGAATGATGGGAATTGGATTGGGGGAATCATCCCAAAATAGCCGAACTTCAAGTGAAACATCTCATTCATCCAGATATTTTCTGGGGATGAATGAAGCAACAAAAATGCGGATATCGTGGGCATATAGTGGGATATCACGCGGGTTGATTGTGATATATATATATATTATGTATATACATATATATACATACAGTATATCTAATATGATTTGGCGGTCTCCGCAAATTGGGAATTTACTCCCAAATTTTGGCCATTTCAACAGAGAAAATTATGATCAACAAGTGGATTTGGGGTATACCCTGTTTTGAAACCAAAAAAAATGAACAGGTGGGATTGTACTTGTGTTTTTGATGCTTAATGATTTACCGTCTAGTTTCCTTATCCTATGCTTCTGGTTGCTTGACTTTCTGGTGGGGCATCGTTCTTTGGCTTTGTTTGGCGGATGCCGCTTGGCATGTTAGGATGAGAAACCGTGAAGGAGATGAACCCGAGGTTAAGGGCCAGTGTCTGTTGATGTTCCAATTGGGATGAGAAGCCCACAATTTACAAACTACGATTTTGTCAGATAGGTATACATCAAAAATTGCTATCCAACAATGCAAATCCGTGATTGGCAGGGCCCTACTTGTTGACACATCCCCATATCCAACAGGTTTTTTGTTGCTCACCCTACTAATGGCGTGCTCAAAATGGCCAGCATCTAGACATCTAGACGCTTGGTTGCTTCAACCCATCCCAACAAGATGAAAGTCCATTCACCACCACCACCACCATCATCATCATCATCATCATGATCATCATCATCATCATCATCACCATAATCATCATCATCATAATCATCATCATAATCAGAAACAGAATCAGAAACATAATCAAAAACATAATCATTGTTCCATCATTAATCACTATTTGTGGGATGGAAAAAAGATAAACCAGAAATCAGCTCAATACACCAGAGAGGTCTAACCCCATGTTTCACCCATCAACCTCCCCACCTGCTCAGCACGGAACGGAAGACAGCCACACCGGTGCTGGAACCAAAATTGGGAAAAATGGACATGACAATGTGTCTATCACAATGTGTATAGTGTTTCTTTCACCATGTGTATATATGTTTATTTATATATGTCTAATTCTACATTTATACATGATTCTGTTATCTGTATGATATAAACGTCTGAAAGCTTTTAACAAATGGACTAGCCACCTGGGGAAGCCACTAGGCTTGGCTTGAGTAATAATAAACAGTAAGGGGAATATATCACCACAAATGGTATGATGTCATGGGATTTAATGTCAAGGTCAAGGGATATATATATAACTATACATGGTCATTTTTAATACCTCATCTAATGGGAATTTCTGGGGTTGTCTGATAATAGGGTATACCCACAAATGGCCTTCTTTTTTACAGGGAAAAGGATGACAATCTATTGGAAAAAACCGGGTAACCAGCCTATTTTCAGACAAACTGGTTGGTGAAGCCAGTGCCGTTTCATCTTACCATTAAAAGATTGTTTTGAATCCACCGATCTTTTTAAGGTATTTCTGTTTTTTTTGTTGGCTTTACCGGAGTATTGAACAAACTGCCAACCAGAGATTCATTCTTTGCGATCGCACAGAATCAAACCCTGCCAAGCATATTTATCAATATGATTCAGCCTTAAAAATGCACAAAAAACATCAAGAATCCACGAGAAAATGATGGGTGGCCAATATGAAGATCTTTGACGATGATTCCCATCATCAATGGTGATGACTGGACTTGTGGAAACACCCCAGATACACAGGGGAAAATTGGTGGATGAGATGAAACTGATGAAACTACCTATGTTCCTTCCTTTGTGGCTATAATCTGGCTATAATCTACCTGAGGGTTGGAGGAACCCTGATAGATGTACTGGCTATTTAGATTTATTTAGTGCCCTTTTAGCTTGACATCAACCGATGGGCTCGACCCCCAGTTGGACAGGTTTTGTTCATCGCAAGCGCTGATCGCATCAAGCTTGGAAGCTGCATCAGGTCACATGGCACCATTTTTTATTCCTACTTCGGTGCAGAAATCCCCATCCAAAAAGATAGGAACATCGAAGGAAGCGATTTCTGGAACCATTTTTTCAACCGGGCCCGATTCTGGGTGTTACCCCCAAGGCGCCAATGGAAAACTAGCGACTCAGCTGGCAATCAGTGAGTGGAATCACCAACCAGCTGTTAAACATAACATATATTATATCGTATAGATATACATACCCTCTGGTAATCAAACATGACAATTGGAAATCCCCTACAAATATATGTGTTAATGGGAGAATCATCTATAAATCTGGATTTTCCATTGTCATGCATGATTGCCGGAGTATATATATATATAGTATATATATTATTATATATTTATATACGTACATATATATAAACTCCATATTATCCTGCAGAAGTCACCGTGTCCAGCTTCCAAGCCACGAAAGCATATTGCCACGACCATGCCGTGGCGGCACCATCGATGGGACCTCGAAACGCCCGAGAGTCCTCTTGAAGTTTCATGTTGTTGAGATGGGTTTGCCAATAGGCTAGCCTCTAAAATTTCATGGTTGATCATCATTCTTGTCAGTAGATGGCATGACTTTGATGACTTTGATATGCCCCATTTTCAGACACACCCATAATCTGAGAAGGTATGAAAATCACTTATATTGGATTCTATTCGTTTTTTTAAACTTTTTCTTGATCCGTCCTGCATGAAAGTGGCGTGCTTGGTGAGATGAAATCTATCCCTTCTCTTTTTGGAGATGAAACCGCAAAGAACAATCTATATACAAATCTCTCCTGGATATGCAAAAAGATTCCTATAGGAAATAAGTCGGAATGTAATGTGTCACTATCACTATCTTAGTAGGATTGATTTTTGGTTTGTCTGGGAGTTGCAGTTGTGTCACTTCTAGGACCCTGCTCTCCTCGCACGCCAGTCTTAAATGCTGGCGCTCTCCTGGCGCTCATCCCTTTGGCTGATGGAATCCACAAGAACTGGCAGAATTTTCCGGTCGCCAAAAAACTTACTGGTGCTCAGTAGGGAATGAGGGAATGGGATGATTGTTAAGAGTTATGGATTGGATCATTCCCCTATTCCCGACAAAAAGCACCAGTACGAAAAACCTTGGAATTCTCCTTGACGAAATCGGTCTCCTTTTTGCTACAAAAACATCCCAAGTGATCGATGGGTCAAGTCACCAATGCGGCCAAAACCATCGATGTCACATGGCAAAACGATGGCAATGAGCCGGTGACTGGTAAAAAAAACACTTTACCATGTCTACCTTGAATGGTAATCAGCCAGTGGGAAATGGAAAGGACAATTAGCGACCATGGGATCGCCGAGCAGCACTCCGAGGGAACTTTTTGCGAGCAGTTCGATGGCTTCAAAACGATTGGGTCAAAACCCTGGTACACATGTAGTTCACAGCAAAATCGTTGGTGCATAGGTTGTGACCCCTTCCCCCCCGTTGAAAACGGGTATCTTTTACGCCCGTGACCAAGATAGACCCTGTGGGCACACAGGGAGACAATCTAGGACTTGAACATTGTCCCTGTGCCGTGCTGGTTGACAAACGGGCACGCATGTCACAAACATCCAGAAACTGAGATACAGAAACTGAGTTGTCTTACCTATCTTGAGATAAAATCATGCGCGATAAGTGCCAAAAATACGGGATGAATAGTTCAAAAATGGAAAGAATCCTCAACAATACTGAAATGTATAATCTTAAGATGGATATAATCCTCAAAAATACCAGAATGAATAATCTTAAGATGAAAATCATCATCGAGAATAGTGGAATGAATCATCTTCATGTGTTTTTTTCTATCCTGGCTGGGAGGTCATACCCAAGACAAATCATAGAAACCATCATTTCTAGTGATGTCGCCATGAGATCCTTCTAATTTGCATATTCATGTACGTTATATCTATAATATATACAGATTTGTACATATTTAGATTATATGTATATATATATGCATGAATTCATATGTATAGAATTGCGTGTGCACGTATTGACATAATGTATGCACGTAGATATGTATGTATAATATATGAAAAGAAAGGAGATGGTTTGACTTATACAAGCAATTGTCGAAACTTTGCTGCTCATTTCGTGCGCTTGGGAAAAGGGGTAGCGTACCAAAGTTCGACTGAATCACATTAGAAAACATTGTTGCATAGGTCTAGTCATTCTTCCTAGACAGCGCCTGTTATGGACACTTCCCGCATTTTTCCAAAAAGTTCCCCCTCAGCAAAGTCGGCTCATTTTTTCTTTTGCTTCTTAGGTGTCGGCTCCACCTCCTGCGTTGGGGATAATAAAATGGCACAATTGCGATGGACAAAAATGGTACAGTACTGGCCAACTGAGAACTTGATTCAGAATCACAAAAAAAACTCCTGGAAAACCACCAGTTGAGTCATGAAGAAAACTCATGGCCACTGAGCCTCTCATCTATTTTAGGAAATCGGCAGATCCAAATCCTGACAGTTCCACCTGTCAAGATTCTCCCATAGTCAGGGGAGGTGAGGATTCATTAAGTCTGAAAATGGGCGATTAAAAAAAAAAAAACAATTTATAGCCATTCAATAACATGGAAAGGGATGATTTACCATCCTCAGCATTTTCCCCAAAAAACTGCCATTGATATGGGGAACATATATAAAAATCACCATCAAACTTTGGAAGCTTCCCCAGCTTTGACAAACCCAAGAATACATCGTGGTTGGTATTTCCCAGTTGACTGCTGGGTAATGCACAAAAGGGGACTAGGCTACCAAAACCATTCGAACAGCCAGCTATTACATAGGACTTAGGATTCCCATACTTCTGTAGTGGAACAAGAATACCACAAACAACTCTGGAAAATTCAAAAAAGCTTAGGGATAAAAACCAATGGAGGTTTCTTAAAATGGGAGATCCCCAAGTCACCATGGTTGTTTCACTACTAAGTGATGGTCATCCATGACGACTGGATGATTTGGGGTACCCCCACCTAGGAAACCATCAATCAACTATTCTCCTCCTCCTCTTCCTCTTCCTCTTCGGATTCTTCGTCTTCCAGATCATCGGGCATGCCATCCTCAGCTGACACCAGGCCCCTAGGTAGTCATCGTTTGAGGCATATTCCAGATGACAATTTCAGAAAAATGTCTTCCCCTGAAAGGCAACAAAAAGCCAAGCATACCACTGTGTTCAATGGCTTAAACTGGGCACCCGGACCGGCTCAAAGTAGCCGGTGAGGTGAATTTCGCTGGTGCCCTTGTTGTGAAAGCTACACCTGGATGGGCCGTTCGCCATGCCAGTGCTGTTGGGCAGTTCTTACTTGGACCAGAAAGAACGAAAAAATGGAAACCTTGCCATCATTGCCATTGAGATTTTTCAGCGAAAATCCTGCAGGAAACTATGTTTCTTGTTCCCTAACGTTTTCTGTAGATGTTCCCATCATCCGCTCAACTGGCGCTCTGCCAAGAACCAGGTACCTACATACTCAATAAATATATTGGTATAGCCTATGTAGAGTCTACATAGATGGACCATGGGATAGGTTAACTGCTTAGCAACTGGGATAAGGCCTGAGTATATGATGGCTTCCATCAGGAAATGGGCCACTGCTCGTGTCTACAGATTCCGTTGCGTTTTAGAGAAATCTATAGGAAACTACCCATGTTTAGAGGTCTCCCATATTTTTTGTCCATCATCCACTTCTGGTACATAGTCAACATGTTGCTAACTGATATCGATATCCCCATATGATTTTCTCAGCTAGGTTGGCTGCCTGAAAATTTTCTCAGCCCGGCACGAGCCAGTCTTGAAAAACAGGTCAAAGGACGCGAACTCACTCTTGTCCTAGAAACAAGCTACCCGGGTACCCTGTGGCAATCAAACCTGGCTGGGAAATCTATAAGTACTATGAATGCTGGCTGGTTTTTTTTGCTTGGAAAATGATCTATAAATGGTGGAAGCTAAGAACCTCTAGGTCCAAAAACAAAAAAACAGCCCCCAACTGGATTCCCAAATGCACTGCACTGCAAAAACGGAGAGTTCAAGAAAAAAACTAACAATGCTGTATGACTGACCAAATGCACGAGCACGACATTTGGGGTCATCTGCAGGCGTCCTTTTGTAGACAAGCAATAGCATAGGTGTTGCTACCTTCAATCACCTTCGCATGGCGTGACCGGCCCCTTTTTCTCTGATCTTCATGGGAACTGCTGGGTCAACGGGGCATGTCTTCATACAATGGACTTCTTGAGATTCTCAAAGGTTCAGAAGCCCAGCTGATGGCTCCTCTAGTGGTGATGATCCCTAGAATCGCCACCAGCTGAGTTGATTTACGATGTGGTTGACCTTTGGGTTTATGGGGAACTATAGGATCGGGGTTATATAAAAACTTATACCTGGGGGGCCCACCTTTTATCTCGAAATTTTTGGGGTAACCCCGATCCTTCATCATCCAGGGTTTGCAAATCCAGCGATGACATGAAATACTGAAAATTTCAGAATCTAGAACAGGTATCGCTGAGGCCTTTAGACCCAGGAAACCACAACTGTTGGTCATTTCTGCCAGTTTCCAGCTGACAGCTGATCTGAATTCAGAATGGGGTCCTGGGAAAAAATACAGGACTCCCCCCAGACAAAATAACAGCAAGAAAACCTGTCCTGAATTTTTCAGTTCCCTTCAGTCCAGTGACAAATGCCCGTTTCCTGGTTCGCAGTGGTTCCCAGTTGTACATATCTTGTCTGGTCCATATCTCAAATATCTGCCATATCAAAATGTTCTCAGGATTCGGTGATCTTGATTCCCATCGTTGGTTCTGAATATGTTGTGAAAACAATCGGTAAAGACCTTCCAGGCTCAACCCAGGGATTCAGCAAAATCATTCATATCCCCATGCGGTTCACATTCGATCCCATATGTTTTGCGGGTTCCATCCCCATGTTGCCTCAATCTGAACGGTGGATATCTTCAACTTATCCTTTGGTAATTTAACACAGCTATTAAAAATGGCCATAGAAATAGTGAGTTTTCCCATTAATAGCATGGTGGATCTTTCCATAGTTTTTTGTATGTTTACCAGAGGGTAATTCCATTAAATCACCATTAAATCCCGTTAAATCCCATTAAATCACCATTAAATCCCATTAAATCACTATTAAATCCCATTAAATCACCATTAAATCATGATGGTTTCTCTGTTCCTCCCCATTTTGTTGCACAAAAATCCCCATGTGTGCCGCCTGAAGGAAGTTCTTGCCGCCTTGGGGCTGGTGCAAGCATGCCTGGCGAGGTGTCTCATGTGCTTCCCAGTAAAGGAGCCTGTGACCGTCACATATATATATATATACGATATTTTAGGCAATAAATGTGTACATTTTATATGGTTTGACAAAAAACATATATATATATATAAAAAACACTATGCGGCGTATAATATAATATTTGACATGATGTAGTATAATACAAAGCTATAATATATATATATATATATTATATATAGTCTAATGTAAAATATAACATACCGAAATATTAAACAATCTAATATATAGTATATAGTATATACATAATGTGAAATATAATGTGTTATAATATAACATGATGTAATATGATCCAGCATAATATGATAGGGTAAAATAATATGATAGTGTAGTATAATCTGATAGTGTATTATAATGTAATCATAGCACTATAAAACATTGCATAGATATAATATAATACAATACAATACAATACAATATAATAGTGTATTAAATATATGTATATATATAGTATAATATAGTTATGATCCAATATACGCATATACATACATGTATATGCATGCTGCGGATATTGAAATCAATCATCTATGGGTAACGTCATTGAGGTACCTGGACCGGAGGCTGGTCATTGGGTCCGAACCCATCCTGGTCTTTTGGATGTATTCTAATTAGAGCCGTTGCCTTCCATTCAGAAGCAACACTCAACTTCAGTTTCGGTGTGTTTTGCATACAGATGGCCACTAAATGCTAAAGACAGGTGTGGGATATGAAACATGCTCCTCAATTAGTAGCCAAAAATTGGTCGAAATGGATGGTACAGTTGGGCACACAAAAGTCTCATGAAATAATGCTGTCATTTCTGGCTTCTCTACTTGCCTCATCACTTTTTCCCACTGCTGAACCATCATGGTCCGTTGTCACCATCGCACCATCGCTGTGATCATCTTTTCTTCGTACCAGAAAGCAGCAAGAAAGCAAACAAGTGATTGAAGCATCCACGGATCCACAAGGAGTCACTTAGTCTTTACTCCAAGCTCAATGGACTATCCACACATGGATTCTCTGGTCCACCATCGAAGTTGAAGCCATGGAAAAATGTGCCAAAACCCTTCACCAACTTCACACAGCGCCTGGGACAAATGAAGGACGTCTCCGCCAGAATCTTCCTGGTGAAATGGGAGCGTGATGGCCAACCATAAAATGAAATGGGTCATTTATAACCAGTCAAAAATCAGGCGTGATGATCAATAAGATCAACGTGTAGATTGTAGAAGTTGGTCATAGATCGTCTTTTTTTTTGTCATAGATCCATCTGCGTGGTTTTTCACCACTTGGCTTGTTATGGCCGTCATGGTGACCCCAAAATAAACAAAAAAAAGAAAACAACAAAAAATGGCAGTTCGAAGAACAAAATCCTTGGCCTCATTTCCCATAATATAGATGTAAACAGCTTCAACGCCGAGTCTTTCAAACCTCCAAACAGTCACTAAATGCGAAGAAAATCGCAAAACTACCTCACCTTGGAAGGACCTTGCGGTGCTGAAACCTCGCCTTCAGTTGATACTTGCCCCCTGGTTTCAGGGTACACCTGGCGGAACATGGCGGATGCTGAACCCCCAAAGGCTCCAGCATGTGAAGCTCGAAGCTCCAAGGAGCTAGAAACCCTCCCATCCCTTGGGGGGAGAAATTGTCCTGGTCTACACCCCATGATCACGCCCCCTATTTTCGCCATTCGCAATCTTTGCTTTACTCGCCAGACCACGGTTTCTTGCAACGGATTCCTGTGCATAACCCTTTAGGCCCTAGTTATTGGATGTTACTGGTGGAAGTTCATCCCGAACAGCTCCATGGAGCGTCCTAACCTTGTCTGTTCCTCACAGTCTTTGCCTAGCTGTACCATCCAACCCCGAGCTCATGGATCTATGGCAGGGTCGACAAAAAAAAAATCTCTTCCACTATCGGACGTAAGGTGATGCCCCCGGACCCAGCTAACTTGCTTTACAATTTGGTCATAAACATAGTATGTATGTATATACATATATACCATACATATATATATATATACCATATGTGTATATATATACCATATGTATATATATATATACCATATGTATATATATATACAATATATATATATATACAATATATATATATATACAATATATATATATATACAATATATATATATATACACACATATAACATGTCATGAACCCCAAACCAAAACAAATGTTAGGTCTTCAGTTTCCAACATGGACCAACTCTGGTGAATTCGTTCAGGACTGCCCTCAGCCACCATCCCCTGACAGCCCGGACCCCCAGAAACTCATAACGCGCCAACCTGGGGATGAACACCGTCTGACGTTTACACCGAAAGGCTAGGGGTGATGGTTTCACCGATGGATTCAACATTCAAACAAAAACTTACCCTCTGGTAAATAAACATAGACCCTGAAAATCACTCATTTTTAATGGAAACTAATCTTCCAACCCCTATCTGCCAGGGTCTATGTTAATTTACCAGAGGGTAACCATATTTACGTTTGGTATTGGTCGTTGGTATACGTTTTTGTTGACCATATGGATAATACAACACCGATGGATACTTCACCATATTTGGTTCCACTAATGCCTGCTCCCGATTTCGATTTTAGATCGCCAACTTGGGAAACATCCCAGAGGTCCCCGGGGGCTATAAACATCGGGCCTTCTTGGGGCATGGTTCCATTGGGGACCCAAGACCAGGTACAAAATCAACTAAAATGGTCGTTGAACAGAGCAAGAGTTGTGGTTTTGAGTGTCTGTATACATATATATGTATATACATATATATATATATATACATCAGATGTAGCTGGATCGAAACCCTTCTGAACCCTACAAAAATCAGGAAATGCCAGGGCCCTCGTTACAACTGGAATTCTTTTTACTAGTCATTGGATCTTTCCTGTCTTTGCGTGCCTCGTCGAAAGCGATCAGGATGCCCAACAGGCAAATAAAACGGCGGCCGGACGCTGGAGAGCCCGCCGGCGAGGGGGCGTGACAACTGAAGTTGTTTGACCTGCAAAACATTATAGCCTCACTCGAATGCAGATACTGATAATGAAGAGATGATGCTGCTGCTGCTGATGATGATGATGACGATGATGATGGCGATGGCGATGGCAATGGCCATGGTGATGGTTATGGTGATGAAGAGGAGGAGAGATGAGCATTCGCAGATAGGGACCCTCAGCTCATGGGACCACCCCACAGAATCAACCAGCTGCGGATTTGGCAGCAGGTCACCAGAGAAAGGATGGTGATCGGATGGTGACTCTTCTGGTACGATATAATGTGGCCAACCCAATAGTTTTCTCATCCTAAAATCACCGTTCGGGGGAATTATTTATACATATATATATATATATGTATTTATATATATATACTGGTCGATTTTTGCTGGCTTTACCACATGAAAGATTCAATGCAAACACTTCCTTGGTCAGGACAACAAACATGACCACTATGGCAAGCTAGAAGACATTTACCTGCTCGTCCCAGCAATTCAACTAGCCTACATGCCAACCAGGTTTCTAGATTGCCTTTCATACATGTCTGGTTGCTG